TGGTTACCGGTATTTTAAGGGATTCAAGAGTGGATTGTACCTTCTTGATCAACTGATCACAATCATTGATTCTTTCACTCACAGGTTCGGCCGCGAAACATTTTTCTTCCTTTTCCTTCGCTTCATCATGCTTACCTTCGGTCTTATAGCCCCTCATATGTGATGCTCCAGCCGTCACCATCAAGCATCGTCCAGCAGACTTTTCACTTTCCTTCTTCACCACGAAGGCTCTGCCATGCGAGGGCTTTCGTACTTCATCGTCTTCAGAGTCGGTAGACCAGACTTCTACGCCACCGAACTCATCATCATCACAGTTTTCCTGCACACTTAAAGCATTCATAGAACTGTTAGTAGATTTCTTCTTCTTCAGTTCCTCCAGCTTACGCATGTAGTAAGCCTCGTCATCTTCACCATCCTTCTTTTCAGACATCTTTCTCAGCATGTAATCCTTAGCAAAGTGGTTCTTGCCGTGACAGTAGTTGCAATCATATCCTGAATCATCCATAAGCTTGCTCTCCTTCCTTTCTTCGTCCTTCTGAGAAATGTTCTTGGTCTCCTCTTTCTTCTTTTCAGAACTGTAGCTTCCCTGCCAGTTTCGGTTCTTGTTGACAGGGAACTTTTTACGGGCAAACTTATTCGGGTTAGTAATCATCATAGCATATTCTTCACTTGTCAGATCGCATTCTAACATATCTGACTCTTCCTCTTCTTCTGTCATATTCTTGCTCTTAGAAACAAGGGCCAAGGATCCCACACCCGAAACTACTTTCGCTTCTTTTGACACCACACTTTCATGCGATTTGAGAATACCCATCAGCTTTTCCAGCGAATAGGATTTAAATTGCTCATGAGCCTTCACAATCGAGACCACTGCCATCCATTTGGGTCTATGGCCATTCATGAATGTAACCTTTTGTTCTATCACCTTTCTTTCAATACCATGCTTGATAATTTTACTAAGCAGATGGTTGAAGCGATCGAATTTCTGAATGAGTTTCTCTTCCGGTTTTTGTTGGAAAGCACCGAACTCAGAGAGCAACAAGGTTTGGATGGAGTGCTCTAGATCTTCATCTGTGGAATACAACTCTTTCAGCCTATCCCATATTTCTTTTGCTGTAGTGCATTAGCTTACTAGACGAAATGTGTCAGATTGCAAAGCGAATCTAATCATTCTCATGGATTTGACATTACACGACAGCTTGTCTTTCTCGTCTTGAGTAATCTTCTCAACATCTATCAAGAGTTGGTTATACTCCTTTTATGTCTTAATTTGTCTATTCGTTCAGGAATGAACGAATGGACCCAAGGTAATCGCCTCCCAGATCACATAGCCATTGTCTTCTAATCCAACCACGTAGTCCTTGAAGTGGTGCGTCCATACTTCATAGTCTTGAGTGTAGAGAATGGGAATCCTAGTAGTGGATCCAATGCTGTTAGAGATGTTGATCGGATTGGTTTGAGAATCGTCGTGAGACATGATGACATTCTTCTTTTATCTTCTAGAATCAGACTTGTAAAGTTTGACTTAGGGTTTTATCAAACACAAGAAACACCGCCAATAAAAACAATGGCTCCTGTAGATTCGATAAAAGTGGAAACCCTAAATGATTCTTCAAACAGAAGAGATGCGTATGTATTACACAGTCTCCTGCTCTGATACCAATTGATGTGATTAATGCACTATTTGATCGACAGATTCTTAACAGATAAACAAATGTAAAGCAATGAAAGAACACAAGAATGAATCAGACGAATGTCGAATGATTATAATATGCTCCACCTCAGAAGAGCTCGATGAAGAACTTCGACTGTAGAGGTGTGCTAGGGTTACAGTGCGATTCAATGTAAAATAATCAATGAGAAGCGTGTCTAATCTAAGCATGCATGCACTATATATAAACCCTAAAGACTAAACACGGTTGGACAGGCCCAAATCGTGAATACAAAATGGACTATAACACGAGCCCAAAGACGCAAAACCCCAGACCCAACAGAAAATTTTGGTCTTGGATTTTGGGATGTTACAAAAATTCACAGTCACCGTTGATAATTATTTTCACTTTGGTCTGCTCGTACTAGCATTCTTTTTGGTCCAACTTGTTCATGTTTTCAATTGTTTCATACAAAAAAGAGCCCATGTGATGAAGGATCATCCTCCTAATTCGAGCTCCTAGAAGAAAGGTAGACATGGCACTAATTATGTACACCTTTCCTTAGGATGCTAACATGTAAAGGCATCATGGCAAAAAATAGCCACCTCCATAGGTTAACGGGAAAATGACTCTTAAGGGTAACTAATTGTTGCGTTTGTTCTCATTTGGTCTTTTTTTTGTACTCAATATACCATCGAACTTGTTGTTTGTGTTCACCATAACCCTTTTGGCCGACTTTTGACCTGTGATAGTCGGTCAAAGGGTTATGGTGAACACAAACAACAAGTTCGATGGTATATTGAGTACAAAAAAAGAAAAGGGACCAAATGAGAACAAATGCAACACTTGGTTACCCTCCTGATTCATTTTCCCTTTACTCATTTACAGCAAATGCGACGTCATCTCCTACTGATATTAATGACTTTATCAGATTCATTCTTGCTTCTCTTCAAAACATAACCTACAAAAGAACATTATTCATGCATGTACAACTTTGTAATGCACTTGAATATTTATTAGGGGAATCTTGACTAAGCAGGTGCATTTCATGACTACATTTAGATTTCCAATCAAATGATTTATCATATCATGGATTCTAGACAAGTCTACAAATGAGTGGAATCACAAGTGCTGTGATTTTTTAGTTTACTTAGTTTTAAGATCGAATTCATAGGATAAGATACAACATCAATATATACAATATCATGCAGATTTTGCAGACACATCACCATAATATACCTTAAGGTAAACGTTTATGCTGATAAATATACCTCTCATACACAATCATATCATTTTGCAGAGAGGTGTTGACAGCTAACCATAGTAAGCATAACATATACCATGTTTTAACGAAGTTATCCCTCCGAAACGCTCTTCATATATGTTATGGCCAAAGAAGGTTGCTGTTTTTGATAATTTTGCAACTTTAATTTCATTTAACTTTTCAGGGAAAATGACTCTTGAGGGTAACCAATTGTTGAGTTTGTTCTCATTTTGTCCCTTTCCTTTTTTTGTACTCAATATACCATCGAACTTGTTGTTTGTGTTCACCATAACCCTTTCACTGGCTATCACAGGTCAAAAGTCGGTCAAAAGGGTTATGGTGAACACAAACAACAAGTTCGATGGTATATTGAGTACAAAAAAGGAAATGAACCAAATTAAAACAAACGCAACAGTTAGTTACCCTCAAGAGTCATTTTCCCTAGGTTAACGAGCTATCATTAGTTATAATAACTGAAATAAAATTTTTAAGTAAGTCAAGTGACTAGTGATTGTTTAAACAAAATATAACGACTAAAACAAAACATCAAGACAGATTGAATAACTAATTATAACATTGACGTATGTTGATATCAACAACCATATCACTTATTACTTGTTGGAGTAACTAGAATGAAAAAAATAAAGGGAAAATTATTTTTCATGGTACTCACTTGTTAAATGTGTTCATATATTACTATTGTCACATGCTATCTCCGGCGACAATGATAACATATGAACACATTTAACAAGTTAAATGGTTAAATGTATACAAAAAAAGTTGTCTAAATGTGAACAATTTTTTTACGAATTTTTTAAGACTTTTTATAATTCATTACAACATATTTAAAATATTTTTTTCTTATAGGTTTTTGTAATACAATATTTTAAACTTCGATTATATTTTAATTTTTTTTAATTTCATATAATTTTTATATAACTGCTTTTAAATCGAGTATTTTCTAAATGTTTTAAACTTTTCTTTCAAGTTTATAATTTTTTTTTTACATTTTCATACATTTTTTATAATTTTCATACAACTCTTTCTAAACTTTTTTTTTACAACATTTTTAAAATATTTCATAGATTTTATATGACAATTTAATATTTTTTATAACATTTTAAAATACTTTCCTTAAATACAAGTTTAGAATACTCTATAAAAAAATAAAAAGTTTATAAACTTCTAATTAAAATGTATATAAAAAGTTGTAATAATCTTAAAACATTTATATTATAACTTTTTTCATTTGTTATGTAATAATTTCTTTTTATTTTTTTAAAAGAGCCTACACATATATTGTTACATATTTAATTTATTTAATTTTACTGTTACATTCAATTTACTTTAGAAATATTGCATATGTTTAAAAAGAAAAGAAAAAAAATATAACAGGCTATATAAAATATTTTACAAAAATAAAAATATATCTATTAATTAAAAAGAAATGTTTAGAATTCATCAATGATTAATTAATATTTATAATAATAAGTTTTTGCTAAAATTAAATGAGTAGAAAATTGATTTGTCAAATCAAAATGCTATAATTATGATAAATAATTAATCATTATGGATGCATTAAAAATAATACTTAGATAAATAATACAAACAAAAATGCAAATTAAAATCTCTATTAAAAATAAAGAAAGTTAAGTGTTGACATGTTGTCATTGTCACCTAAGATAGCCGGTCACAATGTAACATGTAAATAAATATGACAAGTTAAATAGTCAAAAATATATAAAAAAAAAAATTTATCTAATCGTGAACAAAACATTATAAAATATAAATGTGATTTCGTCATAAGTCATTCTCCCAAAAATAAACAAGTTCAAAATAATAAGGATTATTCTGAAAACTTAATGTTTATAAAGCATTCTATTTTCTTGTCTTATGAGAAGAAGACAACTATTCCTATTCTTTTATCAATGTAAAACAATAGATATTTTAATAACTTTATTTTTAATCCATCATATTCTTTTTTATATTGTGATTGTTACTGGTAGTACTAGTACACCGTAGGTAAGGGGGAATGCATGTGATGAAGTAGGTCCACTACAATTTTTTATGCACCATTTGTCGATTGTCTCTTCATATCCTCACAGAATTCCCTCTAAAGAAACTTGCGTCAAATATTCTTTCACACATTTCCATCTTCATAATCACATTCTTTAGGTAAAACCATATTTTTCCCATTTCAGAATGCCCTCAATATAGTTTCTAGAGAGAGAAAGAGTTGATGATGGGTTTTCTTCGACTTTTCATCTTTGCGTTCATCGTATCAGTGGCTTCTTTTACCATTAATGCCGATGAATCCCTCAAGCTAAACGATGAAGTTTTGGGACTTATAGTCTTCAAATCTTCTGTTACTGACCCATCATCACATCTATCATCGTGGAACCAAGATGATGAAAGCCCATGTTCTTGGATGTTCGTTACATGCAACCCGGTCACTAGCAGGGTCACCGGACTCTCTCTCGACGGATTAAGTCTTTCCGGGAAGATTGGTAGAGGTCTCGAGAAGTTGCAGAACCTCAAGGTACTCTCACTTGCTAACAACAACTTCACAGGATACCTTAACCATGAACTATCACTCCTTCCCAATCTCGAACAGCTTAATCTGAGTCGAAATGGCTTTTCCGATCGAATCCCCGGCTCTTTAATGAGCTCAGGCAGCATTAAGTTTCTTGATTTATCAGAAAACTCATTATCTGGACCAGTTCCTGAAGAGTTCTTCATAAACTGTTTATCACTCAGATCACTTTCCTTATCGGGAAATAACCTTGAAGGTCCCATTCCTGCCTCACTTTCCAAATGTACAACACTAAATCATCTTGACCTTTCCAACAATCGTTTTTCGGGTAATTTAGACTTCAAATCAGGTATGTGGTCGTTGATCCGAATCCGAACGTTGGATCTTTCTCACAATTCGTTTTCGGGATCCATCCCTAATGGTGTATACGCTTTGCATGACCTGAAAGAGCTTTCTTTAGAAGGAAATCACTTCACAGGAGCTTTGCCTTCTGATATTGGTTTGTGTCCACACTTGAAGAAGCTAGATTTAAGCAATAATCTCTTCACGGAAACTGTTCCAGAATCTTTCCATCGTCTTTCTTCTCTTAATTATCTGAATCTAGCCAACAACATGTTATCTGGTGACTTCCCTCAATGGATTGGAAGCATGGGCAGCTTGGAATACTTGGATTTTTCAGGCAATGGTTTGACCGGAATCCTGCCGGAATCAATGGGTGATCACTTAAGTTCACTGACTTATATAAGCGTTTCTGGTAATAGTATAAGTGGGAGCATTCCATCGTCATTAGTTTCCTCCAGTAAACTATCGGTTATTCGTTTAAGAGGGAATAAGTTCAATGGTAGCATCCCCGATGCTTTATTTGAACTGGGGTTGGACCAAATTGACTTTTCCAGGAACGAACTTACTGGTTCTATCCCTCAAGGTTCAAGAAAGCTTTTTGAAAATCTTCAATCTCTAGATCTATCTGGAAACAGACTCACCGGCGATATTCCAGCTGAAATAGGACTTAACTCAAAGTTAAGATACTTGAACTTGTCATGGAATAATTTTGAGACAAAAATACCCCCAGAGTTAGGGTACTTCCAAAATCTAACTGTGTTAGATCTCCGATATGGCTCCTTTCAGGGGTCAATCCCTAGCGACATTTGTGACTCAGGCAGTCTTGGAATTCTTCAGCTAGATGGAAACTCTTTCACTGGTTCAATACCTGATGAGATTGGAAACTGTACATCCCTTTACTTGCTGTAAGTCTTTTTCACATTTATAACCTTGAAATGAAGATTTTCTTTGCATCTACAGGGGCAATTTTGTAATTTCACATGTGATTTTTATTATGCAGGAGTATGTCTCACAACAGCTTGACTGGTTCAATTCCAGGATCAATGTCACAACTGAAAAAGCTCAAGATTTTGAAGCTGGAGTACAACCAACTGAGTGGTGAGATACCACAGGAGCTAGGTGAGCTCGAAAACCTTCTGGCAGTAAATATATCTTACAACAGGCTTCAAGGAAGACTTCCTACTGGGGGCATATTTCAAAGCTTAGAGCAAAGTTCTCTCGAGGGTAATCTAGGTATCTGCTCACCATTGTTGAAAGGACCATGTAAAATGAATGTGCCAAAGCCATTGGTGCTTAATCCATTTGCATATGGGAATCAAATGGGAAGACATAGAGGAGAAGAAAGTGACGAATCTTCAAAAAGTTCCGGAAACCATCGCTTTCTTAGCGTTTCAGCCATCATTGCGATATTAGCAGCTGTGGTGATCTCCATTGGAGTTCTAATCATAAGCTTACTCAATATCTCAGCTAGAAGACGTCTTGCTTTTGTTGATAATGCACTCGAGAGCTGTTCAAGCTCTTCCCGCTCAGGAGCAAGTTTGTCAATGGGGAAGCTTGTTTGGTTTGATTCAAAAGCAGGTCCTGATTGGGGTGTGAATCCAGAATTTTTATTGAAGAAGGCGGCTGAAATCGGTGGAGGGGTATTCGGAACTGTCTACAAATATGTAGAAGATGGTAGCAATAATTTTGCAATAAAAAATCTTGTGGTGTCAAACATGATCCAGTATCCTGAAGATTTCGATAGAGAGGTTAGAGTTTTAGCCAAAGTGACACACCCGAATCTTGTTTCGCTAAAAGGGTACTATTGGACTCCAAAATTGCAGCTTTTAGTGACTGATTACGTCCCAAATGGTAGCTTACAAACCAGACTCCATGAAAGACCACCTTCAAGTCCACCTCTTTCATGGCAGAGCCGGTTCAAGATCCTGCTAGGATCAGCAAAAGGACTCGCTCACTTGCACCATTCTTTTTCTCCACCCATCGTGCACTACAACATCAAGCCCAGCAACATTCTCCTTGATGACAGTTTGAATGCGAAGATTTCAGACTTCGGATTGACAAGGCTATTATCAAAGCTAGACAAGCATGTGATGAACAACCGGTTTCAAAGTGCGTTAGGTTACGTGGCTCCAGAACTTGCTTGCCAAAGCTTACGGGTGAATGAGAAATGCGATGTTTATGGGTACGGGGTTTTGATTCTAGAACTTATGACAGGGAGACGGCCGATTGAGTATGGGGAAGACAATGTGTTGATACTTAATGAACAAGTGAAAGTTATGCTGGAAGAAGGGAATGTATTGGATTGTGTTGATGAGAGCATGGGAGAGTATCCAGAAGAAGAAGTGTTACCGGTGCTTAAACTGGCATTGGTATGCACTTCTCAGATACCTTCGAGCAGGCCATCAATGGCGGAAGTTGTTCAGATATTACAAGTCATCAAGACACCAATTCCTCATAGGATGGAACCATTCTAGGACTGTAATTTGTTATTTTTTTTCTTAACGTTGGTAACATGTTATTCGTTTTGTGATTTGATATTTCTGGCTCGTGTATGGATGATTACAAACCTTTCATTTCATCCATTTATCTAAAATTTCGCATCCTTGGGATAAGGTTAAAAAGACCAACTGGCCAATATATGTCATGTCACATCTTAGAACCACAATATAAAAAGGACACAACCTTTTTAGTAAATATTTTGAGTAATGAAATTTTTGGTCACTTGTTTAAGTTAGTGTTAGCTTTTGGTGTAAGTTTGGATTGGGAATTAAAATATTTTACCAAAAATTGGTTTCTAAATTTGTTGGCAAGGCTTTGCTTGTACAATTTACATGATTAAGACATCGATAGTATAATCAACTTTGGCTTACTAAACATTAATTTATAATTCTTATAGTTCCAAGCGTCAAAAAGTAGGAATAACACGATATGGTGATGCCAACTAAATGCATAAGATTACAAATAACATAACATTTGTGTCGTGATGTTTTGTCTAAATCAAGATAATTGATGAAATGATGATGTTTTTCGAGATTTCTTGAGACTTGAAATGCTCGAATTCATTTATAATGGACTATTTTTTTAGGCAATATATATAATAAAGAGTAAAAAGGTGGCATTTGATCGGGTTAACCTATTAAGATTCTAGTTGTGATCTTAAGATTCAATTATAAATCTTATTTCATAATAGACTATGTTATCTTTCATAATAGACTCTGATCCGGATCATTTTTCGTTTATGGGATCTTAACAATGTAAGATCTTAAGTTTAAGATCAGAATCCTAACAACTATAATATAAGTTTTGATTTTGTATTAAGTATAAAAATGATTTGTTTTTGTAATTATGACATTTATTTGTGGCTTTCAAAATGTTTTTGGTCTCAATATCATGTAAAGTTAATTTATTTTTTACAACTTTTACAATAGATTAAAATATTTATGGTGGTAAAATTACGAGCGTTTTCCCACTTCGCTTATCTCTATCGCCATTTTTTTCTTCGATCCATGTATCTGTCTCCATCTTCATCTCCGCCCCATAAGGAACATCCAATAAAGAAGAAGAAATCTAACGTAATCCCCCCTCTCATGCCACAATCCCTAAATATCACTAAAAAGATAACGATACCAACAAAAACTTTATCTACTAAAACTTATTAGACCAAAACTATTAGCAATATGATGTGCATAGATATACATATCAGTTTTAAATTTATAAACTTAACTAAATTATCTACTAATGCACTTATATGCAGTATACCTAGTCCGTGTATAATATAATAAAGTAAGTTGGGTATTGAATACCGGGAACGAAATTTAGCTAATAAAATAACTGCTAAAAATTAATCTCAAAACAATAACTAAAAATGAATTTTTTTTATATGATTTTGCAAGTTCAGATTAACTTAAACTATTCAATTTACTAAAAACTAAGCAAACAACTTAACTAATACGATTGTTATCAAGATTATGAAGACACTTCCGTTTAGCTTTGAATCCCTATTTTTCCTATGGTTAGTTTCAAAACAAGGATTTATTCAGTTGGTTACCAATATAGATATCATTAGCAGTCTTGATCCGATCTCCTAATGCTTTCACCAATTCATGAACTACTATGTAATGATCATACACAACCAAACACATAATTGATTATTTAAGACTATTAGACTATGTAAGATATATCTTAGATAATTATCTATGATCAAGACAAATTACCAAACACAATTATGATCAAATTTTGTTCTCTAACACGGTTAAAGTTGTTACCTTTATTACCTAACTAAGATTTGGTAAATCCTAGCTCTAGCAATTTAATGATCTTAAACTACTAGATAAACAAGTTCATGCAATTAAAATGGTCATTCAGCTACACTTAACTTGAATCAAAGCAACAAAGATTTAAACTTTAGCATGCTAGGTATTGATAATCAAACACAAGCATAAACCAAATTAATAAAATCCATAAAAGCAAGAAACTAACACATAGTATTAGGGTTCATCTACACTAAATGAAATCCAAATTATTTAGCAACTCATGGCAGAAAATAAGCACAAAAACACATAAGAATTCCAGCTAGACATGATCAATATATAATAAGAGAATGGATCGAAAGAGTTGCAGATTTGTTCTCACCAATAGACTTTATAGATTTAAATATGTTGAGGTATCATTAGGATAAACAAGTTGGTAGAGGAAAATATATGGTGGATGATCATGTGATCATAACAGACAATGAAATAAATTAGACAAATGATATGTCATTAGATCAAGAAAGGAATCATGGATATGATTAAGTACAATGAGATTAATGGTCCATTAAATGTTTCTAAAGATTGTGAAAAGAAATAGGCATGTTGATTACACTAACAGAAGATATAAATAATAATGATGATGAGTAGCCACCTACATTTGTTGCATATGTTGAAGCACATAAACAAAGTTACAAGTCTAGTCAAAGATGAATTGCGTATAATTCTCCTATAATGCCTTCATCCAATCTTATTGATGAGGTGAAATATTTAAAAGGAAGCAAAGAGAAAGAAATTGCATCATATAAGTCAAACAATGAAAATGATTTGATGATTGTTAAATATACATGAAAATTAGTTAAATCATGTGTTGATGTAATGACCGATGTCTAAGGTACACTGAAAATGAAAATAAAACCAAGTCTGAATGTTCATCTTTTGCGAAGAGAAATACGGATGTAGGTGTAAAACTTGGTTTGGAAGAGTAGTTAGCAACTCAAACAATACTATGAAGCCAAAGAGGATGGCATGTAATATTCATTTTATTATTAAACACCAATTTTGATAATATTGTAACATCCCAAAAATCAAGACAAAAAATTTCATTTTAAATCATTAATAAAACCATAAGTTATCAAAACATTTCATTTGAACATTGTTATCAAGTTCCATATATAAAATCAGAATAAAACATCCCAGGCTAAACATCATGGTGTGTCCGATGCAATCATCCCGAGCTCTTCCTTCCGCTACCGGAAGTACCTGAAACCAAAACTGAAAACCGTAAGCACGAAGCTTAGTGAGTTCCCCACTCTACCACATACCATACACATTACCACATACTGGGCCCCCGCCCGCTGTGTGACAACCATCAAATTTCGGTCAAGTCAAAGTCAAACAAAGTCAACTAGTCAAACCGGTCAACTC